TATGATGAATGTTGATGATGTTGTTATGTGCAAAATAGCAACAATAATGAAGAGAAAGTTTGATAAATATTGGGGGAATGTTAATAACATCAACAAGTTATTCTTTGTGGCGGTTATTCTAGATCCTCGATATAAGATGGAATATGTGACATTTTGCTTGGGTGACTTGGTTTCCGATGAAAGTGGGGTTAATGACATGTCATTGGAGATCAAGACACTATTACATTCTTTGTATGATTATTATAGAAAGCAAAATCCAGCTGCTGCCCAAGTATTTCATGGTAATGTAGAAGGTGAAGGATCATCGGTTTTGAACAATGATGTTACTAAGTCATCAAGGTTACAAAAGTTTTTGAAGTCAAGGAAAGATAAGGATGTTGTTGAGATAAGAAATGAGATTGATAAATACTTATTGGAACCTCCCGTGAATCTTACCAATGATGAGTTCAAATTACTTGATTGGTGGAAGGAGAATGCTCCAAAATATCCAATACTTTCCAATGTTGCAAAAGATGTATTTGCTGTCCAATCATCAACGCGGAGGAGTTTAGCTACTACAAAGAACCCGCAATGGATGAGTTAGATTTCTACCAAGCTTTGGAAAAAGTGGAAAAAGGTTTTCTTTCTTTTCTACATTAATCAAAATTTATAGTTTCTTTATGTCTTATTAATTCATATATTTATTAACTGTTTTTTTTTCTTTATGCAGAGGTGCTGATTTGATATGATATGAGGAGTATGAAACTCATGGAATTTTATTTCTATATGTAATGGAAATTTACTTGTTTTGATTTGATTTTCTATTATGGTTTGTAATAATTTCTATGAATTTGGACATGTGTGATGGATGATGATTTTCTTAGGTTTTTAACCTTGCAAGTATGCAAATTGTGATTGAGATTACTCTCACAATTTGCTTGGTCTGTAATATATATTTTTGTGAATTTGGACATGTGATATGATTTTCAGGTTTTTATTTGTATTAGAATATGATATGTGCTAAAATTATGCAAAAGTACAGAATCTGGAAAATATAAAGGAGTCCTAAACTTGAATGGGCTTGGAAATCTAACCCAAAAAAAATGGGCATGGAAATTTTTATTTTTAAAAACCACCTTCAACTGTTGGTCTTTTTGGGCCTCGGCAGAAACCTCCACCGATCCGACCCGACCCGACTTATTCGGGTTTCGAATTCATTCGAAATTGGGCCTAAAAATGAGGTGTACAGTTTGCCCAATGGGCCTGCCGACATGACCTGATTCGATGACCGGTTTGGACCTAAACCCGACCCGACCCGACTCGACCCGTGTTCACCCCTAGGTTTGGTGGTTTGGACATTAGAAACCTCAGTTCCACAGAATAATTGAAGTACTTTTCAAAACCACCACTTCAATTTGATCACTTGAGTCGGAAAGAACCATCTCAATTCATGTGCCACCATCACAATTGATAGGTGTGATATTGTTGAAGTAGCAAATATTACACAACAAATGAATTCAAATCCTTTGTGCAAATGCATGTACATTGGTAATTTTCCTGTCAATCCGTAGCATTCGAAAGCTCTATTCTGATGAAACAGTATGAGACTAAATTGCTGAAGGCATATGTAACATCGACCTTAGTTTTAACAACGAAAAAGAAACAAATTTATTAGTATATAACAAAAATCAGA